TTTAAAGTGTTTTGATGCCAGCCATTGCTCTGGTGCCCTGGGCTCTCCTCCCAGCAGCTGGCTCCCCTTCTTTCTCTTCCAGCACGCTGACTGGCACAGAGACTCTGGGGGGGGGGAGTGGGGGACGATGGGCAAGTGGTTGGCAGAGTTAGAAAAGCACGCCACCCACCGGCAGCTCTGGAGAGTGCTGTCGAGAGCTGGCCAACATAGGGTGACCCTCCCACTGTTTTCTAGGTATCCTGAGAAATGCTTTTTGGTTAGACTCTCTTTCTGGTGGCCTTTGGGAATCACTCTGCAACGTGTCGAAGGGCACACAAGGGACACGGTACGTGAGCCCATCAGTCACCCACGGTCTCAGGAGTCTCGCCGGACTCCTATGGGGGCACAGTGGAGATTTCAGCTCCCAGCTCCTCCCTTCACAGCCAGGCACTCCAACCCGCTGAGCTGCACAAGCAGAAACCAGCTCTGTAGGTACCCTGCAGCTGGCCCCCAAACGTGGCCCACAGCCTAGATGGTGCACGTCTGCCAATCTTGGTCTGGCTCTTCCCAGCCATCTTGCCCTCGGCTTTTCCTCCTTGCGCGTCTAGGTCATGAGCCAGGAAACGCCGTATCTTTACTAAAAATAAAATGACATGAAATAGAAGGCCTTGTTCTTACAAAGGTGAAATTCAGGCTTATTTCACATTGTGCCTGTAGAAAAGCAACATCCAAAAAGACCCTGCACTGAATAATCCACCCTGCTTAGATTAGCTGGAGGGAGACGGGTGTAGAGGTACATGCAGTGACTGACATTTAAAGACCAACACAAAGAATTTGCTTTTGAGATCCACTGCGTGCCTTTGGAAAAATGCTGAAGTGCCCTTTGGACAAACGGGAAAGCTGAGCACCCAGGGAGGAGAGAGGGCGGCTGGCTGACAGTTTGCTCGGCTGGAGCCTGAGAGAGAGAAAGAGAGAGAGAGAGAGAGAGAGCTGTTCCAGAACAGTTGAACAATTCTAATATTGCAAAAGAGGTAAGGGAGGGATGTTGGCTCCTTAAAAAAATACTCAAATTCTGTTTGACATAAGCTTCTGTAAATAGTCACCCATTTCCTCCAAGAGAGAGAGCCCAAGGAAGCATCAACCAAAGAGAACTCGTTAGTCTTTGAGGAACAAAAGAACAGATGAATGTGGCCACCCAGCTTCTCCCAGTTGTGGGTACGATGCATAGTGGTCTTGTCCAGTAGCTACCTGATGGCCTTCACCTCCCTGAATTTATCCCATCTCATCCTAAAGCCGCCAAAGCTGTAAGCCATCAGTGCATCTTGTGGCAGTGAATTCCACAGTTTAACTCCCTCTGTGTTGGGTCATGGAGTCCTCCCTTTTGTCTATTCTGGATGTCCCATGGCCCAGCGTCAGTGAGCAAATGGGCTGGGTCCCAGGAGGATGAGAAGGGGAGCAAGCTTCTCCCTGTTTACTTTCTCCCTGTAACATGTCATTTTCACACCAGCGGCTCCATCAGTAAACGACTTATTAACACAACCAATTTCGGAATGCCACAGCTTTCTGCAAAACAAGGCTGGCAAGCATCAAAGGAGTTCTCAGCCAGCAAAACAAAATTAACAAAGTTAATTAATTTTCTTTATTGCTCTCTTTTGCAATAAGGCTCACTTCTACATTAATATCATCTGAGGGATTTGTTAAACTGGTTTGCAGTCATTTGAGGTGGGGGTGGGCTGCTAAACCATTTAAAGTGTGTGGGGGGGAGATATTTTACATTATAACCTTCCACCACGTTTTCCACCTCCTAAAGTCACTCAGACATTGTCGAATTCCCAACTAAATGGGCAAAGTTTGGGGAAATTTTTGGAACAGCAAATCCCAAAATTCCCCGGTGGCTCTGCTAGTGAAAGGATTGTGGGCTTGGAAGATGCATAACCTGAAAATAATCCTGAAATCTTTTCTGGAAAACACAGAGGGGCACAAATTGCTGAAAACACTTGAATGACTTTTGCAATTACAGTATTGCTTTTTCTTTTTCAAGGCTTTCCATCCTCAAAGAAGCTATGATTTCCTCCTGGCAGAGGAGTTTCTCTCTCTCTCTCTCTCTCTCTCTCTCTCTCTCTCTCTCTCTCTCTCTGTGTGTGTGTGTGTGTGTGTGTGTGTGTGTGTGTGTGTGTGTCTATCTGTCTGTCTGGAGTCAAATCAGCAAGGCTCTCTCTCTCTCCACCCGCTGGCTGAGCTGCTCTTTCCCCCCTCATCCCTCTGTGACTTCTGTGGTGTAGCCTACAAACCCAGATTCTCAACACCCAGGGAGGCCTTTTGTGTCCAAACCTGGAGGACTTCTCCTTATCGGAAACAATGTTTCTGCCCCCCCTTCTCGCCCTCCCACTCCATCTCCTCTCTTTGCATCTTGCTTGTTCCTTTTCTCCTCTCCACTTTGCTTTTGAGATGAAGAGCCGTGACAGGATTTCTTCCAAGAAGCTTCAAATTTCTCCTCTTAAACCAAGAGCCGGTGGCAATGCTTTTATCACAGCAAAACCAAACAAAATCTCATCGGAAGGTCTGGGTACGCGAGAGCCCCTGGCAGCTCATTGAAAGCAAAGCTTCCAAGGAGGGAATCTGCCTTCTGAGGGTGGAGCCCTGCGCGCGCACACAGAAAGAGGTGCGCACACAGGCACACTGTCCACTTTGGGACAACTCTCACAAGCTGCAGATGAAACCAGAGGGCTTTCAACACATTTTGTGGCACATGCACTGCGTTTCATATCATCTCCCCCTCCACAGTTTTAAAAGGGAGATGAAGTTTCAAGGTGCAGAAGAAAGGGTTGCATCTGTTCTGCTCCGTCCACTGCAACTGGGCTTTAGCGGCAGCGGCTCAACCACAGCAGCCCCTAAACTGTTCCTGCAGGAGGCCAGGCCAGCCTCAGCTCCCCAAAGGTGGCGGCAGGCAGGCAGGCAGGCAGGCAGGCCAGGCAGGCAGGCAGGCAGGCAGGCAGGCAGGCAGGCAGGCAGGCAGGCAGGCAGGCAGGCAGGCGCTCACTCTGCTCCTCACGAAATGCCCCCTGACAGCAAATGCTCTCTGTGTGTGTGTGTCCAGGGGTGGCTGGCAGCTGCTGCTTGCCCCGTGCTCTGACCTTCAGCCAGTCAGTGAACCATCCCCTCTGTAGACAGCCCCCTTCTTTCCCAAGAGGGCTGCGGTGGTGGAGCCTCACTCCCCCAGTGGCCTTTGCCAAGCCAGCCTTCTCAATGCGTTGGGGCACACCGGATGTTTCATCGTTTTCCAGCAGTAAAAAAAATTATAGTGCCATTTCTGAGGGGTGCATGTCTACCAATCTGAGGCATTGGCAACAAATTGCTGTAGTGTCTGAATACTATCTACTATCAGATCTATCTGTCTGTCTGTCTGTCTGTCTGTCTGTCTGTCTGTCATCTCCCCTCTGTTGCCTCCCTCCTTCCCTCCCCTGTACTTGCAAGATGAAAAACTAGGACTTATAAAATAGACAAAAAAGTTTATCAGCTAGGTAAGGCTGGCTGGGGTCACAAAAAGTCTTAGCGACTAAACAACAACAACAACAAAGGCTGCATGACTTACCAACTAAACAACAACAACAAAGGCTGGCTGGTTGTCTCTGTGTAATGACGGCCCTCTTTCAACAGCATAAAACAGCCTTTCTGCACACAAGCCCATCTGAACGGCAAGCTACTCCTGCCCCCTCACGTGTTCCTTCGCCTTCCACTGGATGCATCATCTTCCCACCGGGCCTGCCTCTCTCCCTCTCACCAGCCACAGCTAATTGCTGCTTTCCTCCGCCAGCCACTCTGCTTAATTGGGGTCATGATCCCAGGGTGACAACAGCTACTTCTCCCTTGCATGTTTCCCTTTGCAAATGAAAAGCCCAAATGCTCCCATGATTTAGAGCTTTGTGCTGGCATGACCAGCCCCTGGAAGAGAATGCATGATTGTGGATCCTCTAGGCAAGTCCGGCGATGTCAGGATCAGAGCTGAGCACGAGAGAAGAAGGGAGAGCTTTCAGCCATCGGTTTATTGCTAAGAAGAACGTCAACGAGGGATGTTCGGCTCAAATCAGGAAGTGGAAGGCGACTCCCATGGAGACGAGGCACATTCCCATCTCCTGTCGCTTGCTGCAAAACAGGCGCCCTGAACAGGACGGGGGGGGGGAATGCATTCCCCCCCATTCCTCTTGCACCTTACTCTTCCATTCCTTGTTTACACCCATCAAGGCACCATTTGGTGGAGCTTTAAAGTGTGGAAGCATCTCTGCCCTGGATCACAACTTACCAGAATCATGGAAGCCAGCATGTGGGGGACGGATTCTGCCTGATGCAGAACCCAAAGGAGTGGGGCTGATTTTCCCACCTGAGTGAAGTTTATTTTTCTTTCTTGATGGATGATACCCCCCCCCCCAGCAAGAGCAGGTGCTGTTTTGCAAAACCTGGAATCACTTCCGCAAATACAGTCTGGCATTAGAAGGGTCTTTCTCAAGCCCTTTGGAAATGTGAGGTGTGCCTTTATGGTCGGTTGAGCTTCGTGGTGAAAATGCCATGCTTTGAATCCCCCCTGGTGGAAAAGATTCTTTCCAAGAGTCTTCCCTTCGGTGGCCCCAGACAAGATGGGAAGCAGGGTGGCTCTCCGGTGATGGCCGACAAAGGTCTGCAATTCCCTTCTTTCCATAATCTGGGGGGCAGCTTGCATTGATGTTCCCAGAATAGCTTTTCTCGGCAAAGGTTCTGTTTGCCACCATCTCGAGGCTGGCAAAATGTTTCAAATAATCATCATATATTTTTAAAAGCCCTTGCCTTCTGACTTTTGAAATGCCAGCAGAGGTTCAGCTGACTGGATGCCCTTTGCCGATGCTTCCTGATTTAGCATCTTTCTTGCAGTTACACTGGTATTTTTCCTCTCTGCCTGCCCTCTTCGAACTCCCTCTCCTGAACACATAGAACTTTTGGCCTGGCCTTTAAATAACACAGTCCAACTGCACCAGCATTATACAGGGTAATCAACAGTGTGAAATTCCTTTAATTTGGAATGATACATACATTTTACTGGTGATGCTGATTATTGTCGTTTATAAGATGACACAACAAGACACAACATTTTCAGTCATCAGCCACTCAATGCTCCCACGGCTTGATATAAATGAATCCATCTGATCAATCACTCACTCATTTCTGTTCTTTGAAGCCACCATGGCACCACCAATGCAGAAGGGATGCGCCTGGGCACAGGCTGGAAATTGGGGTAAAAGGCTCAAGTCCTTTGAATGAACTGAGTTGAAAGCGTGGCAAAGAAACCTCCCAGAAACCAAGACACATAAAGGGTTAAACTTCCATGGGGCAAACATAAATTACTACATTAAAAACAGTGCAGCAAGAGTCTTCCGTCCAGCCTCCTTCCTGGAAGCAGCCAGCCAAATCGGCTAATAAATCCATCCATAAGCGAGGCAAGATTAGAAGTGGGAATATGGCTCCGAAATGTGTCAAGCAAACAGATGCTCCAGCTTAAGGGATGGAAATTCCTGCCCCTCCAAAGCAAATTTGCAGGCTTAGCAAACCTTGGAGCTAAACCTAGTGGCTCTTACAACTTGTGCAAAAATTTGTAAGAAACTAAGATGAGGGGAGAGAAAAGGGGAAAACAACCCAGGAAACCATGGAAAATAGATCAAAGCCGGCCTTTCTTTTCATAATGTCCCCAGCGCGCCTTCTTTCTGCCTCCTGCAGCTTGGCCATTTCCCCTGTTCTTGGGAAAGAGCCGAAAGCAGGCGCAGAAGAATGGGCTGCCTCTTGTGAAGGAAGCAGGGGAGAGTCCTCTTTCTTCATCAGGAGCAGGGGCTGAAGTGCGCTGGTGCTCTTCTCCCTCTCTGGGGCTTCTCCTTTGATGTCTTCCTGCCAGCAGCCTCCCTGCCGGGCTCACCTGTTCTTCAGTCCAGAGACGGGCTCTCCACGCTCTGCCTTTTTGGGGCTTCTCTGCCCTTCCCTCCCAGAGCTGAAAAAGTCATTCCAGGAAGCGAAAAATGAGCAAAAATCTCTGTTCAGTGACCGAAATGTTGTGCCAGAAGAGGCAACACAAGTATTTCATGTTCTGGAGAAGAGGAGGAGGAGGAGAAAGAGGTAGCAGGGGACCTCGGGGGAGGGAGATGGGGGGCATTCAGAGCATGCTAAAGCACAGCCCCTTGTCTTGCTTGCTTTTGCCCAAGGCCGGCGGCTGCCCTGGGGACGCAGCCGGGGGCTTCCGCTCCTCCCCTCCTGGCAGGGGCCGTTTCCCCTCCTTGGCGGTGATGGTGACACTGCTCTTGCGGCTGCAGCTTTGGTAGTGGGCAGCATCAGACCCCTTCCTCGAGGCAGCGTAGACGCTCAGCTGCCCTCGCCGCTTCTCCTTCCGACATTTGCAAAGGTTCTTGAAGGCGAGGCGGAACTTCCGCGACATGAGGTTGTAGATGATGGGGTTGATGGCGCTGTTGGTGTAAATGCAGACCCTGCAGAAGAGCAGGAACCAGCGGTCCAGGTACGGGCGCTCCACGAAGGAGTTCACCAAGACCAGGGTCCGGTAGGGCATCCAGAGCAGGGCGAAGAGGATCACCACCACGGCCAGCATCTTGGTGACCTGGAGAGGAGACAGAGAGAGAGACGAGAGGGGGCTTTCCAAGGGGCCGAGGCAAGGCGAGAGGCAGGAAGTCCATGGTCTAGACCAGGCAGGCTTCCCTCGCAGGCTTGGAATCTGGGGCCGCCGACAAGCCAGGCATCTGCTGTTGTTGGTGTTGTGGCTTCGGATCCCCCCCCCTGCTCTCCCATGTAAAAACCCAGGAGGACTCTTGACGGTGGAAGGGATGGTAGCTTCTCTGTGAGATGTTTGGGGGAGAGGGGAGAAGGGCGTGGGCCTGCTGGCTGAGCGGTTCTGGAAGCAGGAGTCCCAGAAAGCAACTTCCAGTGGTCTGTCAGATCACCAAGCCCCACGTTTCTGCTTACTGCTGTCCGTGGCCCACCCACACTCTGGATGATAACTTTCCTTGCCGTGCTGCTTTCTTCTCCAGGAATCCTTCTGGAAAAGTAAGGGAGTGTGAAATGCTCATGAAAGCTCTGGGGAGCCTTTCTTGGCAGATGGCCCCAGGGATAATTCATTTTCCGCGCAAAGCCAGTTTATGAGCATGCGGAAGGAGGCAAACGTTGGCAAAGGAAAAGGGCAAGTGACACATCCCAGTGATGTTTCCATTTTTAAATGGCTTTGTTTGGCGTGACTTGGGAGACGCACATCATTATTCAGAATAATGTGCATTTCTCCTCCCACTCACTGGTTTCCGGAGAACATCTGCCCAAAATTTTGGCCTTCCTGTTGATGGATGATTTGGGGGTCTCAGCACACAGACACACACAGAGAGAGAGAGAGAGAGAGAGAGAGAGGCGTCCTTCTGCATTTGACCCACCTGCTTCCGGGAAGAGACGGGGACCCTGGTTCCGGAGCTGCCGGCCCTGGCCGGGTCTGCCCTGGTGCTGTTCTTCCTCCTGCCAGTTGGCTCTTGGCAGCGTTCAGGAACGGTGGTGGGCTGGCACAGGACTGACCCCCGGAAGAGGACTCTGCCAATAAGGCCATACAGCACCGTTGTCAGGAACAGAGGCGTGATGAAGAAGAGGGTGAAATCCAGGAGGTAGATGGGCAGGTAAAGGTTCCGAGAGACCTTGTAGCCGCACTCCAGCTGCCGGCTTTTGCTGACCACAGTGTCTACCAGGAAGAACCACATCAGGCAGTACACGGAGGTGAGGATCCAGATGAAGCCAATGATGCGCTTGGCCCGTGACATGGTGCACATCCTCTGAGCTTTCATGGGGTGACAGAGGGCAATGTACCTGGAGAGGAAGGAAAGAGGCCCGCTTTAGCTGGGTGCGGATCCTTGCAGAGTGCTGCGACCTGGCCCAGTTTTACAACTCTTTTGAGTTAAAATAACCACCCTGGGGAAACGGGACGAAGGCTAAAGTGGGAGGGAAGGCTTATGGCCATGGCATTCGAAAATCCCCTTAGAGGGAGTGCAGATGGGAAGAGATCTTTAAAGTTCCTAGAGCTGGTTTTCATGTCTCCAGATCTTGTATCCTGCCTCAGGATGGCCTGGGTGGCCATCTGGAGAACTCCGGAGGTCCACATTGGGCCACATGAAGCCCCAGGGCCGAAGGGTCTCCATCCTCATAACAAGGGTCAGGGTGGGGTTGTGTGAATTCAGGTTTCCAGCCCCGTGCCCACCATGCCCATTAGGCGAACAGAGCTGCTTTTTTGGGGGGGGGGGCTTTCCCTACCTTTCCACGGTGAAGGCGGTGATGCAGCAGGATGATGCGTTGATGCCCAGGTACTGGAAGTAAGTGATGCCGAGGCACCCAGCAAAACCGTAGATCCACGTCCCTGCCAAGCTATCAGAGATGTTGGGCAGACCGGCAGCCACCAGCACCATCAGGTCGGCCACTGCCAGGCTGACCAAGTAGCAGTTGGTGGGCGTCCTCATGTCACGGGCCGTCAGGACAACCAGCACCACCATGACGTTGCCAACGATGCCAACCGCACAGATGCCCAACACCAGGAAGATGGAGGTGGCCTTGTATTCCAGAAGGGCAGACGTGCCGGCCTCGCTGCCCACCAGTGAGACATTGGTGGGCTTGTCCAGCCGGCCGCCACTGCTACTGTTGTTCTCCATTTCTAGTTGCAGAGCAGGGACCGCGTGCCCAGGTCCTGGAGAGGGGAGAGGGGAGGGATCTCCCTTTTCACGACACAAGGGTTCTTCTCTCCCCTTCAAGACGATCAGCTTTTTCCGCCACCAAACAGGGGCGCCCTGAACGGACGGAAAGAGATCAGAACTCTCTTGCTTTTCCTGGTTGAGCCTCAACTCCGGCCATCTCTGAGGACAGCTGAAGTAAGCAGCTCCAGTGTTTTCACTTATTTAAAGCATTTACTTAAAGCAGCTCCTTACCTTTCTCCCCCCCCTTTTTAAAAAAAACCCTCTTTAGTCTGATCACTAATTAACACAAGCATGGTAAAAGCCAAATTATTGATAGCAGAAGACACACAAAGTAACCCAGAGAGTAGCTGCTAGAACATTTTGCAGCTTAAAAGAAAGAAAATACACAATTGAATATAGCAAGTAAACA